CGCCTTTATCGACTTTACTACTGGTTTAGGGTTTGGGGTTTCAAGTTGTCGGGTTTAGGGTTTTAGGGTTTTAGGGTGTCAGGGTTTTAGGGTTTTAGGGTTGTAGGGGTTTAGGGTTTTAGGGTTTCGGGCACCCGTGCTCCTCTTTTCAAGCCTCGGGCTTCTGCCTGCGCTGCCCGCCCATGGGCGCAGCCCCTTAAATAATCATTAACACACACACACACTGGGGCAGGAATTCCTCTGTGGCCTTGTGTAAAATCAGAGCTCAAAGCCGAGCGGCGAGAAGGCATAGGAGAAGAGTGGAAGTGGCAGGCTGGGTAGGCCAGCCAGGCCAAAGAGGATCATGGCTTGGAACGGCATCAAAACGGAGAGGCGGGCTGATAATTCTGAGCCCCAGACCTTGGCCTGGAAGCCTTCGAAGTTGAAGACGAGAAGCAGAAACAAGTAGCCGAGAGGCGCGACGAGCTGCAATGCGATGAGGTATGGATTGCGAGAGTCTGCGCCGTAAGCCAATGCCTTCTGGTCGAGAAGTTGTCTGAGCTTGGCAAGGAGCATGCCCAGGATGAAGACATGAAAGTAACACAGCGGATGGAACTTCAGCATCACAACACCTAAGTCCAGCGCCGTGTCGGTGCTGAGGAAGTGGTGGTCCTTGTACCAATCCATGGGCTGGTTCCATACAGCCGGAACAAACACGACAAGCCAGGGCAAGAAACAGGACAACGACATCAACAGGAACGTCTCGAGCAAGTCGAGCTTCATCAGGGCTCGTGCGATCGGCTTGAAGAAGAACCAATACACGACCATGCAACTGAGAAACCAGCAATGCGTCTGCAGTGCACTTTCAGTGAGGGTTGGCCACCATGCTTGAAGGAGGAATGACTGGGCTAGCAGGGTCGGCCACTCTGCTGTCATCGTGCCGAAGCTCTTCTGCATAATGAATGCCGGGATGAGGGAGATGGCATACAAAGGATATATCGTAGCGCTTCGGCGCAGAACATACTGAATCATGCTCTCCTCCTTCGGGTTCTTCAGGTAGGCCGAGAAAAGCACAAATCCAGACAGCATGAAGAACCAGGGCACCCAGGTGAAGCCCCAGCAAAAGAAGTACACAGGTTGCGTCACACCCTTCGCGAAGAGATTGCCCAAGACAATGTGAGTCGAGGCCATGAACCGGGCAAGGCCAAAAGGATACCTGTTGCCTGCTTTGCACGTTTGAAGCATCCATGTGAAGCTCTCACCTGCGCAACCTGCACGTTTTCCCACTTCCAGGGAGTCCCCCTTCTCCAGGTCACCCTCTGGCGGCGTGACCTCGGGTGGCTTTGGAGCTTCCATGTTGCAAGGACTCAGATCTGCGTTGAACCCGTTGAGCCCGTTGAGCCCGTTGAGCTCGACTGCGTTTGGCTTTATATCCGGCTCATCGTGATAGGCCGTCTCTGGAAATTCTGGAAATTCTATTGGAACAGCAGCGTCTGGCTCAAATTCAGCTGCATCTTCTGAATCTTCTGTTGGGTCCTCTGTTTGCTTGCCATGTTGCACTGTCGTTTTCAAAGACCAAGCTGCCCAAGCATGCTGGACTGCAACAACGCCCAGTGCTGCAAGGACACTGATTACGGGCAAGAACCATTCAAAATGCTGCAAACACCACAGGCGAATTCGAACGCCTCCTCTGTGGCACGCATCTGAGTCCGCCCACTCCATCTCCATGAGGGCAAGATGAGAATGCGCGGAATCCGCGATGTCCACCGAATCGTCGCAGAGGCCTTCGGTTCCCCCAACTGGCGGATCTCTGGCTGTCAACGTACAAGGTGCATTATTCATGCACTCCCATTTTTCGCATCGCTGGCTAAGCAAGCACGTCGGCCAGTAGTTGGGGCAGTTCTCGAAACGAGCCTCTGCCCAGGGCTGGTCATGAGCAGCATGCCACAATATGCCACATGCCACACAACAGGGACAAGTGTGAAGGTGTCGAGTGCACATGCTTCAGGGCCAAGTCTCGACGTGATCAGAATGAGCGCAAAAGCATTCAATACGAGTAGGTAGGCCAGGCTAGACCATGTGTCCCAAAAGGGGGTGTGTTTTTTTTTTGTCTTTTTTTTTGGGGGGGTCCTTTTTTTGGTTTTGGACCATTTCCTGACGTTTGGACAGGAAAAACAATATTTTTCCTCACATTCTGAACGTATTTCGCGGTATTTGCTTAGGTTTTGCTAGGGAAAACACTATTTCCTGACGTTTGGACGGATTTCCGGCTAGGAAAAACAATGTTTTTCCTCACATTCTGAACGTATTTCGCTGTATTTGCTTGGGTTTTGCTAGGGAAAACACTATTTCCTGACGTTTGGACGGATTTCCGGCTAGGAAAAACAATATTTTTCCTCACATTCTGAACGTATTTGCTTAGGTTTTACTAGGGAAAACGCTATTTCCTGACGTTTGGACGGATTTCCGGCTAGGAAAAACAATACTTTTCCTCACATTCTGAACGTATTTCGCGGTATTTGCCTAGGTTTTGCTAGGGAAAACACTATTTCCTGACGTTTGGACGGATTCCGGCTAGGAAAAACAATACTTTTCCTGACATTCTGAATGTATTTCGCGGTATTTCCCTAGGTTTTCCTCAAGAAACTCTTTTTTCTTGCCATTTCCTTGGGCTTCTTAAGGGAAAACGTACGTTATACTGGTTTTGCGGTTTTTGCTAGGGAAAATACTATTTCCTGACGTTTGGACGGATTTCCGGACTAGGAAAAACTATATTTTCCACGCATTCTGAACGTATTTCGCCGTATTTCCCTAGGTTTTCCTCAAGGAAAACCTATTTTTCTTGCCATTTCCCTGGGTATTCTTACGTTTGGACGGATTTCCGGCTAGGAAAAACAATATTTTTCCTCACATTCTGCAACATTCCTAACTAGTGAGGCTTGTTTGCACCATGCATTCAGCTGATCGTGCTAACTTGTACAACTGCAGCTGTTGGAGACCAAGGGGCCCCTTTTTAGGTGTCACTAGCGAACCCTCTTGAAGCCATCGGACAGTGCCCTGCGCACGTGTGAAAAGGAGCGCCTGGCGCGCTTGAGTGACCGACCGTTTGACCCCGTGATCTTTTGACAGAGCCCAATCAAGCTACCCTGCAGCATCCGCTGCATTGGTAGCGGAGCAGTGTTGCGAGGACCTTCCCTGAGGGATCACGGGATACCAGCACTGCTCCGAGATTCTCCGAGGCGGACGGCGCTGTCCCCTGCACTTGACGCTGCACGGCGTCCTCTTTTGGTTTTGGTGGTGACTACGATATCCCTGCCAGATTTCTTCTCCGACGTCTGCGACGCTGAACTTCTTCATCGGCTTCGACGACATCGGCTACTTCTTTCTTCTTCGGCGTTGACAACATCGGCTACTTCTTCTTCCTCGGCATTGACAACGTCGGCTACTTCTTCTTCTCCGTCATAGACAACATTGGCTACCTTCCCTCTCCAGGACAAGATGTCTGACAACAAGGACTCGTCATCCATTCCTGCCTGGGATGGATCTGCCCGCACCTGGCGGCGTTACACCCGTGAAGTCTCCTGGTACATGCAATCGACGCCAGTACATAAACGACGGTATGTGGCGTCGAAGCTTTTGTCTCGCCTTTCGGGACCAGCGAGGTTGTTGGCTATGAGTTGGAGCAAGGTTGGTTTCGACAGCGCTGACGGTGCGAAGATCTTTTTGCAGCGCTTGGCTGCCAGCCCACTTGTTCGTCGTTCTCTTCCCAACGCTGCTGCCATATGTCAACAATACTTTGGATTCAAGCGACTTCAAGGCGAGTCTATTCAGACGTTTCTGGTGAGAGAGACTCTTATGCATGAGGAGTTCGTGGAGGCGATCATTAGACTCCACGAGGACAAGCTTGGGGTAAGCCAAGAAAGCCGAGACTTTGGGTTACCCACCTCGCAGGACTATGACGACTACGACTGGGAGATGGACTATGGCTGGTCCAGCTGGTGGGACAATGGTGGCTGGAATGAGGGCGAGTACGAGGAGACCGAGCGTGAGGATGATGCCGGTGGCGTTGATCCACCCGAAGAAGGACGCTCACCCGGAGCTGAACGTGAAGATGCTAAGGTTCCTGCGGCTCCAGGCTCCTCACCTAGCCATCACCGTGACGGTGGCAGTGTGACTGAGGAACCGACTTCTCCCGCTGATGACAAGAAAGCCGTCAAGCCAGTGCCTTTGGATGAGCTGTCGCTTGCGGATAGCTTCATCTTGGATGTACTTCGGGGCTGGCGCTTGTTACAGGCGGCGGGATTATCTCATGAGGAGAAGCGGGACATCCTCAGTACGACAAAAAACAGTTTGGACTACACCGTCATTTCAGCAGCTCTTCAAGGACTCTGGGACGACCAACTTCTTGGCCGTCACGGAGGACATCCTGGTGGCTACAGCGCCCACTACCTCCAGGACCCGGAAGCCAACGAGGCCTACTACCAGCAGGGATGGTGGAGTGATCAGAACGATGACGAAACGGATGGATGGTGGGACGACCTCTATACACGGACGCCGGCTACGAGGACGATTGGTGGTATCAAGACTACGACGAGTACCCGCCTGAGACCTACACGGCGGCAACTGCTCAGGAGCCAGATGATCCGGAGGCGAAGATTCGTCTCCATGAGGCCCAGAAGGCAGAGCAGGTCGCGGAGAGTTTGGCCGCGGAGGCCAACAGAACATGGGCCGAGGCCCAGAGGGCCACACAGGCCCTCCGCAAGGACAGAGGTTTCGGCGCGGTTATGCAGGGCAAGGGCGTTGGGAATGGTCGCTGCTTTGTGTGCGGTGGACAACACTTCGCCCGCGACTGCCCCGATCGGCGTGGACCTCGACCTAAGGGTTTCGGCAAGCACTCTTCCTACGCGGCGGACTACTACGACGACCTCTACTTCAAAAAGGGCAAGAGCATGTCCAAGGGCAAGGGCAAGGGCAAGGGCAAGCGCTCAATGTGGATGGAAGCTCAGGCATGGATGAAGGGCAAGGGCAAGAGCAAAGGCAAGGGAAAAGACATGTCCCGTGCGGTGAATGCCTACGCCTCCAACATGTTCGTCGGCGGCCTTGAGCTGAGTGACAGCTATGAGTTGCAGTCATCCTCTATGAGTGCCAGCAATGCCCAGACCGGTATGCTGGATTGTGGGGCAACAGCCTCAGCTGCTCCTGAAGCAGTCGTACAGGGGCTCATAGGAGCCGTTCTTGCAAAGGACAAGTCAGCGAAGATCGAGTTTGACCAGTCAGCGCGGCCATACTTTCGGTTCGGGAACGGGCGTTGGGGTCGAGCTCTCTGTCGTGTTCACATGTCTAGTCGTGTGTCAGGTCAGCTGAAAACCTTCTCGTTGTACACCCTACCCAATCCGGCCGAGTTCTACCAGTCCAACTTTGACAAACAAACTCTTGTGCCCGTGTTGATTGGCATGGATTTCCTGGGCAACCAAGGAACGGGGCTACTGGTTGACTTTGGAACGGGACTAGCTATGTGTACCAAGGAAGAGAACCCCGAGATCTTTCAGCTAGATGTGAACCCCAAGGGCCATTACGTCTACGACATTGTTCATCATTTGACACGAGGACACACTTGTATGGAAGGTAATGCTCATGTGCTTGTTCGTCGTTGTCCTCTTGGCAGTGAAGCTGACATGTCGCAACAGATGCTTGAGCTGTGGACTGCTTGGATAGATCTGAATGTCAGTGATCGTGCACATGATGAACAATCGCTTGCCAGTGCTCGTGCAAGGATGTGGCGTTTGTATCAGCATGGTCATTCTTCCTCGACCCCGGCAGCTGTGACAGCTCAAATGTGTGGCTCTGCATCAGCCACCCGCCTTTCGACAACTTCCTCTTCAAGCTCTCATGGCGACGCCCGCGGCCTCAGCTGCAGCGAAGCCCACGAACACTACGAATCCCACCGTGGACCCCGAGACCGAGGCGATTCTACAGGCCGCGTACAAGGCCAAGGCTCGGCCCAAGCAAAGAGCTCGATCGCTCGATCCCAGCCGACGGATGAAGTCGGACCCCCGGGACCCTCGCAACAAGAAGACTCAGTGGCCATGCTACGGGACCCACACTCCTGCAGCCCCTCAAGGCAATCCTCACGGGAAGTGGATAACCTGTCAGTGCTGCAATCTCAGGCTGCTGTACACACCCAGGAAGGGGAGCCCAGCTTCGAGTACCGAGACGGTGAATGCCCCGATGGTGCAGGTGATGCTGAACGAGCTGGAAGCAGCACTGGGAACGGTTCGGCCAACCGCCAAGATATGCCACTACGCTATGGAGAAGGTGAAGGCCGACTATGTGCTGCGCAAGGCAATCGGCGACCTCATGGGCAACCACAGCACTACTTCCATTCAGGCACCCCAGAAGGCCGGATATCCGACATCACCAACAACCTCAGCAGCAACCTGGGGAGTGGTGGACGACGAGGAGTTGATTGCGGCCATGGAGGCAGGCCAGGATCAGCAGTGACTACGTACAAGCCAGTGACAAGTACCCCTGTCTACATGGGCAAGAAGGTGATGGCCATGGCAGCGATGATGGCAACGGCTACAACGTCTCTCCTTATAGGCCTCCATCTAGAAGGCCGTGATGGACTTTGGGAAGTGGCCTGCAGTCCCCACTCGTGGCTCAGCGAGGC